GCTTCCGTCCACTCGAGATTCTTGGCGAACGGCACTGGCCTGCCTGCATCTATCCTCGCACACGTACCCGTGTGCTCGCGCGCAGCTGTTGCCAACGCAACTCGACGCAACTCCCAATGCCCTGCTGCTCCCGGTCGCCTGCAAGACTGGACTCCGACCCTTTAGCCGCGGCGCCGACGACGCCCGCGGGCGCGGTCAAGGTCTCGACAGCCTTGCCCAGAAACTCCGAGACCTCCCAAATCAAGGCTCGACTTCTGGTCTGCATGTGTGGGTCCCCCATGGCTCTGGAAACTTTCTCCTCCATGATGGAGGTTACGGGGTGTCTCTGAGGCCCTGGCTGGTTCAGGCCGCCCGGCACCGCACGGGTAGTGAGGCTCGGCCTCCTCCGTCCCTGCCGTTCCAGACGCTGTCCAGACATCTGAAGGGAAACTGGGACACACAAATAAATACACACAAATAAAATGATTCCCCATATTTTCCCATATTTTCTGGGTTTTGTCTTCCCCCCCACTTCCCATATTTTCCCATATTTTCTGGGAATCGCAAATTAATTGTGTCTGTGTGTTTTTTTCCCTCCTGAACATCAGCATGATGGCCGTTACGCCCAACAACACTCATAAAGAGCAACTGCGAGACATATGATGCTCCAACAGTCGTACAGTAGAGGGCCGAAACAAGAACACCCCCATAATAAGCACCCCGACAAACGAAGCCCTTGAGTAAACGCACCAAGGGAAGGGATCGTACAGGGCGGGGCTGTTTAGTAAACGCCCAGGGCTGTTCAATTAACGCTGGTTGTGGGGGATCGGGGCGGTTTTTCCTCCCTTGATGTAAGAGTTGGAATGCAAGACGCATATTGGCATCGAGGTGGTGGTGCGAGAACCCCTCCCCTCCTCCCTCCGCGCTCCCTCCGACTCCCTGTTTCTCAATATCCTCCTCCCCCCTCCCCCCCTGCCTCCATCCTCCTCCCCCTTCCCTCCTCCTCCTCCTCCTCCTGAAGCCTGCGGGCTCCCCATGGCTCCCAAAACCCCTGCGCTGGCTCTCCCGAGTCCCGCACCGACCACTATTGCCGCAACATTCCTCCCTCCTGCTCTCTCTCTCTCTCTCTCTCTCTGGGCACCGCCTGCGCACCCAGCCGCGCCCCCCGCGGGGGCACGGCGACGCGCGGCGTCGCTCTGGCCGCGACGGGCCCCCCGAGCGGGGCCCCACGCGGCGCGCCTGCCTTGGGCGCCCCGCCCGGAAGCAGCACGGCCGCCGCAGGCTCGACGCGGCCCGGCGGCGCAGCAGTGGTGAGCGCTGGCCCGCGGCGGGGCGCGAGACGAACCCTGGCAGGCCCCGCGGCGCAGCAGCGGTGAGCGCTGGTCCGCGGCACGGCAGGTCGCGCCGGGGGGCGTGAAGGATGCCCCCGGGCCCTGTTGCTCCCCCTCTCCCAGTGCCAGCGCCGCGAGCTCCGCCTCGAGCCAGAGGGCCAGCTGCTCGAGCGCGTCCAGAGGGGCGGTGCGCCCACGTCGCCGCGGGGATCCGCGGCGAGAAGGCAGGGGAGGCCGCCAAGGCTGCAAGGGGGGCAGCGCGGCGGGCCTGCGCAGGACCTGCGGGCGGCCGCCCGCACATCTCCTCGTCCTCGTCCTCCGCGGCGGGCTCCGCCGCAAGCGGCACGCGCCCGAGCGCAAGGCCCACGGGCGCGCCCCCAGCCGCGGCGCCGCCGCTGTCCTCGGCAGCTCCGCCAGCACCAGCCGCCGCAACCGCGGCCGCCTCCGCCAGCTCTGCCGCCGCCTCGGCCACCACCACGGCCCCCTCCTCCTCGAAAGGGCCCTCGACAGCGCCAGCACGAGCTCTGGCCCTGCGCGCGCGACGGCGGCGGCGCGTGGCCCCGCTGGGCGCCGCGGCATCTGGACCGGCAGCCGGTGCTGCTGTGGCCTCCTCCCGGGTCGGGAGCTCGGCCGCAAGAGGCGCTCGAAGCCGAGCGCCGCTGCCGCGGCCCTGCAGGTGCCCTCCGCAGTGCAGAGCAGCCTCGCGTCGCCTGCGCCACGCCCCCGAGCCTGCAGCCGCGTGCACGGCCTGCGTGGCTCCAGGGGCCGCCGCCAGTGCACAACGACGGCCGGGCGCCGCCGTGATCGGAGGCCCGCGGTGGGCCCGGCGGCCCGAGCGGCGCAGGCTCGACGCGGCACGGCTCTATCTCTCTCTCTCTCTTTCCCTCCTCCTCCTCCTCCTCCTCCTCCTCCTCCTCCTCCCCTCCTCCATCCTCCTCCTCCTCCTCCTCCTCCTCCTCCTCCCCCTCCCCCCTCCCCCCTCCCCCTCCCCCTCCCCCTCCCCCTCCCCCTCCCCCTCTCCCCTCCTCCTCCTCCTCCTCCCCTCCTCCTCTCCTCCTCCTCCTCTCCTCCTCCTCCTCCTCCTCCTCCTCCTCCTCCTCCTCCTCCTCCTCCTCCTCCTCCCCCTCGTCCTCGTCCTCGTCCTCGTCCTCGTCCTCGTCCTCGTCCTCGTCCTCGTCCTCCTCCATCTCAAGGAACCGTCTGATCCGAGACCTCTGTCTGGCCGCCTTGACTTCCCAGCGCTGCCACGGGGCATGAAGGGGGCAAGGAGTAACTCACGCCCGGGCGGGAATCATTCTTATGGTTTTCGTGGTATATCTCGTTGGCAAAGGCTGGGGGATGCTAGAACTTGTGTGATATCCAATGCCTGGGTCAAAATGGGCATTATGCTCGCCCGCCCTCTCGCGCAAGGGTGCCGTGGGTCACACCCTCTCCCTGGGCATAGTCCCTAACCTGGTCGAAGGTACTCAACTTTCCCGCCAAGGACTGAATGCCAAACAATCCGCTTACACTTGTGTGTGTGTGTGTGTGTGTGTGTGCGTGCTGTCTTGTTGGGTACCCCGTACGCACGGTTTTGTACGTCTCGCATGATGCCGCGACGTGCTCATCTCACACATGTCTTGCCCGTGCATTTGTGGTTCGCTTCGGAGGAAGATGACTCAGCACTTGCCGCGGGGCTTCCTAGGCGTGATCGGAGGTCGGCGATGTGGGCTGGGCGTCCACGTGCAATAATACAAACGGTGAGACTCATCTGGATTCCCCGCCGCCTTTCCTGAGTGAGAGAGGCAGAACTGTCCGCTGCCGCGGGGTTGGCTCCAGGTGGCACCAATGCTATTCGTTCACACTCCTTGGAGTTCTAAGGTTGTTAGAGGTAGGGGATATTGAGTTGTTTCCGCATATCACAACACAAATGTTTCTTTGTCACGTGCTTCGTCGTCTCGGATGTGCTGTTGCCGATGGTCATCGCCCATCTGACGAGAGGGTGAAGGTGGCATCGCACTTCGCCGTCGTGGTCGGGTACCTCTCGCTCGCGGTCTCCGTGGCGGTCTGGGTGTGTGTGTGTGTGTGTGTGTGTGTGTGTGTGTGTGCGCAGATGGGGAAGCTCACATTGGCAGCGCCTGGGGGTCCATTCCACTCTAACTTCTACCTCCTCCTCCCTCCTCCTGGGAGGCGGCCGGGGGGTGTCTGCACTGGATGGGCCCCGAGAAATCGGTCCAGAGGGGGGGGGGGGGGGCGAAGGCAAATCGGTTCAGATTCGGTCCCCAGGCCCCTCCTGGGGTCGAACCTGGCCCGTTCTTCGTTCCGCGCCCAGACCCTCTCTCCCCCATTTCTGCTGGCCAGGACCTGGAAACCTCAGCCCCTCCAACTTCTTCTAACTCTCCTCACCCCTCCGCCAAATTAGAGAGGGCGAACCCGCTCAACCCTGTGGCCTTGGATGCGCTGGCTAGATGCGCTCGGGTCCTTCAAGAGACCGCGCCCTCGTGGATGCGCGTCCAGCCGTGGCAGGCGCCGCCGCTGCCGCCGAGGCTCCGAGGAGCAACACACAACGATACCGCTGCGGCAAATCCTTGTCGTGACGACTTGTTCGGGGGCGCGCAAACATGGATTAGCGATCCATGGACTTGGCGCGCGGTCGCCAAATCCATGGATCGGGGGAGGTGCCCTGCCCAAGATGCGGCCAGTGCAACCTAGCTCGGCGGCGCAAGTCCGCGATTTCCCGTGGAAGCGGGGCCCGTCGCCAATCCGCGCCCCCTTGATCCATGTTTACCACCGCCTGAGTTGTGCGCTGGCTTCTGACGCTGCATGGCCCGCTCAGCATTGGACGATCCGAGGCTCCCGACAGCGCCGAGGGTCCTTCGGCATCGGCCGATCCCTGGTCACACTGGCGGTGCTCAGCCTTGAACACGCCCACGCTCGGGCCGCCGCGCCGGCGCGGCGCCAGCCTGCCGAGCCCCCCCCCCCCTCCGCTCTCCCGCCTCCTGCTCCTGCTGGACCCTTTGGTGGGGACCCCTCGTCGCCACGGCCGGATTCGCCAGGCATCCTCTGGCCATCGCTCGGACGTCCATTCCCCGTGTTCTTGTCGGTCTCGTGCGTGGCTTTGTCGCAGGAGGATCCAGGATGTTCCTCTGAGAACCCCCGCCGAAAAAGAGCGCACACGCCCGAGCGATACCAAGTCGGAGCGCACCCCCCGGAGGAGGCCCAGGGAGCCCCAGGATCGCCGTGCCTTGCTCCCCGCAGAGATCGGCGGGGGTGTCGAGCACGAGCTCGCGACCGACGGGGACGGCGCATCCGCCCGCGCTGTGCCCGTGCGCCCGGCGGGCAGCCGAGGCGGCCGAGTCGAGGCAGGAGCCACGAAGCCGAGGGAGTGCCCTGCGCCCTCGCCGTGTTGCGTCTCCTGGCGCATCTGGTCAGATGCTTCGCAGCGGAAGGCTCTTCCCCGCACGCCGCGCGTCTCGCACGCCGCGACTCTCCAACAAGTGCACAAGGGCTGAGCCTGAACGTTGTTTTCGGTTTTCGTTCTGTTTTCGCTTTCCCTCGCTTTTGTCTCGACTCCGCTTTTAACGCAAAACGAAGTTGAAACGGAAACGGCCCACGAAATCGCCAAAACACCGTTTAGGTCCAGCCCTGAAGCGCACAGCAGCCCAGCTGCGCCACGGCCGCGACGACGACAACCACAAAGAGGACTCGCACTCAGCACGGCGCCACCTGAGCGTACCCTCGGGCTGCATTGTCGATCTCGTCCACGATGGCAGCCAGGGTCTCGTCCGCCGCGAAGTGGAGTGCCTTGTACAAGTACTCGTCGACGTCCATAATGAACAGCAATACGAAAATGTCTTTCAGTATTGCAGTCTCGGTTACGCACGTCGCCATGATGTATCTCATCGTTACTGCCGAAGCGGTGAGGGTATTGAAGACGAGCACGCCACCAATGAGGAAGGCACGCCGCAATAGCAATTTCACGCCCGCGATCAGCTGTGGCAGCTGAATTGAGACAAGAAGCATGAGGCCGAGCAGATATCCAGAACTCATATTGTGCTCGACTTCTTCGCATACAATCTGGCCAGTGGGCATGTCGCATGACGGCTCTATCCCGTGGTGGTAGTCGCTGTGCTCGTCGTCTGCGTCTGCGGCCCTCCAGAATAGGTACAAAAACATCAGCTGTGCCGAGGCCGCGACCATCGCAATCGCAAAAAACATGGGGCGGTGGGGACAGCCGAATAGGATGTACACGCTGCCGTCGCACAAGTCGGAGATCTTCAGCATGGCGCCCCTGGCGGGCACCGCTTGCGACCCACTCCTGCGAGTGCCCCGTTCGCGCCTGCAGAGTGCGTGAACCGAAATGTTGAGGCCGAATGGCTGCAGACGAGGACATGGAGGGGGGAGACGGACGAGCAAGAGAAAGAGAACGAGGAATAAGACCGGGGCGGCTGTGACCTTTGCCAACTCGGTGGCCGCCTGGAGTGACAGGGTCCGTGCAGACTGGTTCGCAGGAGATGCCAACTTTCCCAAGCAGACTGTGCCCCCCCCGCAGCCCCCCCATCCACCCACACCCACACCCGCACAGCCACAAAGCCACACACACACACACCCACACCCACAACCCCCACCCCACCCCGCACACACACACACACACACGCACACGCACACGCACACATTCACATGCACACGCACACGTCTCGCACACGCACACGCACACGCACACACAGACACACAAACACGCAAACACACAAGCACACAAGCACACAAGCACACACAAGCACACACACAAACACACAACACACACAACCGCCCGCACGCACGCACGCACTCACGCACACACACACACGCAATCACACACGCACGCACACACAAACACACACAGACACAGACACAGACACAGACACACACACACATCACACACACATCACACACACACACCGTACATACACGCACGCACGCACGCACGCATACATGCAACAAACACACGCATGCAACACACACACACACACACACACACTACACACACGCACACACGCACACACATACATACACACACACACGCACGCCCGCCCGCCTGCACGCACACACCCACAACACACACCGCACCCAACACACCCAACACCCAACACACAACGCACACAACACATACACACACGCACGCACGCACGCACGCACACACAAACATTCACACACATTCGCACACATCCGCACTGTGTTGTGCTGTGTCGTGTTGTCGGATGCGCTGTGTTGTGCTGTGTCGTGTCGTGCTATATTGTGCTGTGTGTGTGTGTGTGTGTGTGTGTGTGCTGTGCTGTTCTGTGTTGTGCTGTGCTGCTGTGTTGTCCGTTGTCCGGAGTATCGGCTCTAGTCCCGTCCCCCCCGCGCCGCTCCTGCCAGCATCCCACACACGCGCACACGCACACGCACACGCACACATTTTTCCCAACCATCCTGTGGTACCAGGTCCTCATTTTGAAGAGACGTCGCCCCGCGTTCCTCCTCTCCTCCTCCTCCCCCTCCTCCCCCCTCCTCCCTGCGTTTCACCTACCCAGTACAGCGTTTCGTGGCCCCATAGGGAGATCCACCGAAGGCCCCAGTGGCAGCGTTCGCATGGCGGCCCCGCCCCTTCGGCACACCCCTCACGAGGATCGTGGCCCATAGGGAGCTCCACCGAAGGCCCCAGTGGCAGGGTTCGCATTGGCCCCGCCCCATTCGGCACACCCCTCACGAGGATCGTGGCCCCATAGGGAGCTCCACCGAAGGCCCAGGGCAGCGTTCGCATGGTGGCCCCGCCCCATTTTGGCGCACCCCTCACGAGGATCGTGGCCCCATAGGGAGCTCCACCGAAGGCCCCAGTGGCAGCGTTCGCATGGAGGCCCCGCCCCATTTGGGCGCACCCCTCACGAGGATCGTGGCCCCATAGGGAGCTCCACCGAAGGCCCCAGTGGCAGCGTTCGCATGGCGGCCACGGGCCATTTTGGCGCACCCCTCACGAGGATAGTGGCCCCATAGGGAGCTCCACAGAGGTCTCCAGTGGCAGCGTTCGCATGGTGGCCCCGCTCCATTTTGGCGCACCCCTCACGAGGATCGTGGCCCCATAGCGAGCTCCACCGAAGGCCTAGTGGCATCGTTCTCGCATGGGGGCCCCTGCCCCATTTTGGCGCACCCCTCACGAGGATCGTGGCCCCATTAGGGAGCTCCACCGAAGGCCCCAGTGGCCGCGTTCGCATGGTGGCCCCGCCCCATTTTGGCGCACCCCTCACAGAGGATCACGAGGGCATCACGAGGATCGTGGCCCCATAGGGAGCTCCACCGAAGGCCCCAGTGGCAGGGTTCGCATGGCGGCCTCGGGCCATTGCGGCACACCCCTCACGAGGATCGTGGGCCCATAGGGAGCTCCACCGAAGGCGCCAGTGGCAGCGTTCGCATGGCGGCCCTGCCCCATTGCGGCACACCCCTCACACGGTTCGCGGCCCCATAGGGAGCTCCACCGAAGGCCCCAGTGGCAGCGTTCGCATGGCGGCCCCGCCCCATTGCGGCACACCCCTCACGAGGATCGTGGCCCCATAGGGAGCTCCACCGAAGGCTCCAGTGGCAGCGTTCGCATGGCGGCCCCGCCCCATTTTGGCACACCCCTCACGAGGATCGTGGCCCCATAGGGAGCTCCACCGAAGGCCCCAGTGGCAGCGTTCGCATGGCGGCCTCAGGCCATTTCGGCACACCCCTCACGAGGATCGTGGCCCCATAAGGGAGCTCCACCGAAGGCACCAGTTGCAACGTTCGCATGGCGGCCTCGGGCCATTTCGGTACACCCCTCACGATGATCGTGGCCCCATAGAGAATTCCTCTGGCTTCGTCCCACCTGCCCTGCGGTATTCACGTTTGCATATGGCTGGGTCCTTCGCCAGGATTTTTTTTTGCGTCGGCGGCTAGGCAGAGTGACTGTCTAGCGAAAGAAGCGTGGTGTGGTGCACGGAGCGCGAATTGGGGCACCGTGCAAGAGGAAGGGGAAGTGGTGCCCGGCGACGGCGGGGGGGAGAGGGGAAAACCGGGCCCGCTAACAGCAGGGCCGGGCACGCGGCGGGGGCGGCGCCAGGGGGGGAGCCAGCAGCGGCGGGCGCACACGCATACACACAGCACACACACAGCACGCACACAGCACACGCACAGCACACACAGGCGCACACATTCAGCACACAAAAACAGCACACACAGCACACGCACAACGAACACACACACAGCACACACAGCACACACAGACACACGTGCAAACGCAAACGCACACGCACACACACACACACTTCTTGCGTCGGCGGCTAGGCAGAGGGACTGCTCTGGCGATGTAGCACGCACACGCGCACGCGCACGCACATGCACGCGCACACGCACATGCGAGCGCACACGCACACGCACACACAGACACAAACACAGACACAGACAGAAGCACAAACACAAACACAATCGCAAACGCAAACCACAAGCCACAAGCCAAAACACAAACACAGACACACACAAACACAAACACAACCACAAACACAAATAGCAACACATACACAAACACATGCACAAGCACAAACAAACACACAAGCACAACAACACAAACACACAAACACACAAACCCAGAAACACATACACGCACAAACACACAAAGTCACAAACACAAAACACAATCACACAATCACACACCCAAACAAACCCAAACAAACCACAAACCAACCACACCACACACCACAACCACATCCACAACCACAACCACAACCTCAACCACAACCACAACCACCAACACAATCACTACCACAACCACAACCACAAGCACAAAGACAAAGACAACGACAAACACAAAGACAAACAGAAACACAAACAGAAACACAAACACAACCACAACCACAAACACAATCACAACCACAGACACAAACCTAACCACAACCACCACCACCACCACCACTATCATCACAACCACAACCACAACCACGCACTCAAACAGAAACACAAACACAAACAGAAACACAAGCACGCTTCCCCCTCTTTCCCCCCTTTCCCTGCTCTTGCCCCGTGCCCACCCCCATATGTTGGCTCAATGGTACGCGCACATCCGCCCAACCCGTGCGCACACATGCTCAGGCGAGTCCTCGTGCGGTGTCACGCTGGCACACCTTCCACGTCACAGCGGGCAACACACAGTGGCAGCAAGCACGCACGACTGCCTGACAGCGTCGTGGGAGCTGCTTCGCGCTTGTGTGGTGTGAGGCATGATGGCTACGGCTGGATGTGTCTAGTTTCGGAAAGGGGCCGGTCTTGGTGGCTAGGAGTTCTAGAGGGCTGCGGGTCGGTGCGGGGTTGTGTGGTTGGTCGGTATGGTTGGGTGGCCGCACAGTGGACCGTGCCCCACCCGCGCACCCGCCCCTCAGCCACCATCTGGCGTGAACCTGGTGCGAGGATGTGACGGTCCCACTCGTGGTTGACAACGAACGAACGAACGAAAGAACCAACTAACGAACACACACACACACGAATACTTTTTAAGTCAGCGGCGCAGAGGGCCCTCAGGCGCGAGCAGCAGATGGAAGTACTCATTGCGACCGGGCGTTGTTGATAGCGCAGCGTGCAAGGGTCGCACACTGCAACATGCAAACGATGTTTGAGTTACAGTCGGGGCTCGGCCACAAGAAACCTCCGCAAGAAATCCAACCCTGAAACCCGAGGACGCCTATTGGTTCTCAGGCATGCGAACGCCACGTTTTCAATCGCGACTCCATCGGAATCCAAGAAACCCAGGGTACCCTGGAGGGAAGCTGATGGTTTCTTGGAGGGGGTCCCCACTGTAGAGGAGCAGACACGAACACATGCGAACACACACGAGCACACGCGCTTTCCGGCTTGTACGTTGTGGGGGCCGAGAAGCCGCTCGCACGCTCGGAAGTCACGCCCGACGGAGCGAACTGCCGCCTGGCAACGCGAGGCACCCGGGGACGCCCTGGGGGCCCGGAGGAGGAGGAGGAGGAGCGCCAGTAGCTTCATGGGGAGGAGGGGAGGGCGGATGGAGGAACGGGAGAGGGAGGGGAGGGGAGGAGGAGGAAGAAGAGGGGAGGAGGAGGGATGAACGAGGAGGGTGGAGGAGGACAGGGAGGGGGAGGAGGAGGAGGAGGAGGGGGGGGGTAGGAGAGGAGGAGGAGGGAGGAGGAGGAGGAGGAGGAGGAGGAGGAGGAGGAGGAGGAGGAGGAGGATGAGAAAAGGGGGGGGGAGAGAGAGGAGGAGTAGAAGCAGGGGGGGGGAGAACGCGCAGG